CTGTTTATGTTGTAACACTCGGCCTCTCATTTAGTGCATCAGCAGGTTAAACACAGAAGAGAAGGGAAGTCTCTCTATGAAGCCTAATGCCATCTTGTGACCAATGTGATTTAGAGCTACTACTCAGCTCAGCAACATTTCTCATTAGCTGAATAAACTGATCTCTTGGCAGGGAACTGAGGGAGAGAGAGGGAGGGAAAAAAAAAAAGCCCACTCGGATCCAGTTGTTGGCACTATTTATAAAAGTTGTGCCCTTTGGAAGGCAAACCTTTAAATATTTCAGCAAGGGCAGTTTGTGTCAGCATCTGGAGCCCATGAAACAGGCTGACGTCCGTACGAATGGTTGCATAAAATTAGAATTTGGCTTGTGTTTTGCTGCTCACACATCGCACTCATCGTAAAGTGTTTAATGCTCCAGCAAAGTAGAGAATCGTAGTACCGTAACGCTGCTTGATGTTGTGGTGGTTTTATTTCTGGAAAATGGGAGTTTAAGGTGAATTTCTAATAACTACAAGTGTAAAGTTAGGAGCCGTGTTTCCATAATGTATTTTATAGAAAATATCACAAGGAAAAGTTAAAGCAAATAGCAAGATTTCAACAAAACTTCTTCAGTTTCGCAACAAAGGTTTCACAATTTCACCTTTTCTGAGTAAGTTCTGATGTAGTGAACTCTCCATCTCTCCATTTTTCTCCCGTAAATGGCCAAAGTTTGTTTTCTTTGACATTTTTTAGGCAACAACTGGCTTTGCTAGATCTACCCAGGGTTTTTTCTTAACTGAACTGGATTGCAATGCATTTGTAATCTCTTTTTAAAGCTTCCAAAATAATCAAATCCAAGGTGTCAGGTGTCAGATGGCTTGCTTTGTCTGATTCACAGTTCGAAAACCTAGAGGTATTTAGTTTGCTGTCACATAAATTGAAGAAAAAAGGAGCCAATATTAACAATGGAGAAAGTGAAAGTAATGCTTCTCAGAATAATTGTTGATTAACTTCCTGTTAACTGACTAATTGGTTAAGCTTTCCATCTCAAGAAACAGTGCCAGACCAGATCCGGAATTACAAAGCGTGCGTGTTGCTCCAGGTTTTAGGATGCTGTCAGAGGATCGCCTGCACATGGAGACGATGGCGGTGCTGCTCGTTGTGTGCATCGGGAATCAAAGGCGGCCATTGTTGGAATGAGAAGCAGATGTTAGTGAGGAATTCTCCTGACTGCAGCAGTTTTTTCTTTTTTCATGCCTAAGCTCTGAGCGCTGCCTCTCTCCATCTCCCTCCCTCCTGCTCGCTTTGCTGTATATATCCACTCTCTTCTTTTTCTTTAGCTTTGACACACGCTGTACCTGTAGCTATAGTTAAATCAGCATGGTGACAGCCTCCTTCCATGAGTCTGTTCTCCTTCTCCAAGCAGACATTTTTTTCTTTGCCTTCACCCTCTTCTGCCCCTGTAGCTCTGCAACAGTTGGACATAGAGACTCTCCACTCTTCTGATGGGACAGAATGAGAAAGAAAGCGGTTTAGTTGTGACAGAGGCCCTCTCTCCGTATCCCAACGTGGGATTTGGTGTCGTGCCGGACTCTGAGGTTTGCCACGTTGACAGAATCCCTGTTTGGGACTGAAAGGCAGGAGGAAGCTCAGTTGGCTGCTCTTTGTGCATGTGTTGCTTTAGATGGACTTTAGTGTTGCGTCACACTTTGCACGGCAGCGAAAGGGGGGGATGGAAAGCAGCAGTAATGTCATTATCCAGCACTCTGCTCCTTCAAACAGTGTGTAAGAGAATCTACCCTTTCATTTCATGGTGGACATCCCCTCTGCAGTGATGTCTCATGTGTAAACCAGACATGACACCATAGACTTCTAAACCCATCAATAATGACTACGCACAGTTACGTCTGAATTACTCCTGTCACTAAAATCAGCATCCGCTTTCACCATTCACCAGTTCAACAGTGTAATAAATGAACAGTAACAAGGATGCGTCCGTGGAAGTCAGGAATCATATTTCTGGTTGAAAGCTGCTACATGATATGACTTCAACAGAGCCCGCTTTAAGGGCCATTCATTTTTCTTCAGGGAGACGTGAGAACCCCAGATTTGTCAATGTCTCCACCTTGTACAGAGATTTCATCCTCTGCCAGGTAAAGACCCAAGAATATTAGTCATTAAAATGCTTCTTAAAGTTGTTTGAGACACAGTCGCGTCAACTAAGTAGTTCCATCAAAGAGAAGCAAAAACTTTTCTACGATATCAGAAAAAAATTAAACGTCTGCCTTAGAAATAACCAAATGATCAATTTCTAGGCATTTCTGAAAAGGTTTCTAACCAGAAAAAAAGTCTAACCCGTAGGAAAACACTAACTCGTCTTCATCCGTCATCAGTATAACGGACACAGTAAAGTTATTTTGCTTAAATTTAGTTTGTTAAAGCTCCGTTCCTTCTGCTTTACTGTGCAGTTTGTCAGACGTAGCGACTCTGCACAGCTCTGCGTCAGGTAAAATTTGCTCATCGGGTGTGGAAATGGAACTACAAGTCAGAGCTATGGTGGCTATGGAGCTGCAATTATAGGCTGCTAGAGGTGTGATTAGTCAGCTTGGGCTACAAGTTTTAGGTGCTGATGCAGATTGTTGATAGTGACGACACATCAGTTCAAGTTATTTCCACTAAAAACCTTTCGATCAGTTGTCTTCTGTTAAGTTTTTAGCAATAACCTTCCCACTGCTACCTTGTAGAAAGTGAAATATACACTGATCAGAAACAGCATTTTAAAAGAAGTTCACTTTTTACAGTGTATCCGCAGTGGAACTGATGTTAACCCCTTTACATCAAGTGTAAATCCTTTTAAGTGCTGACATGGTTTAAAGTTGTACTCTTTATTGCTTTACTGTCTCATCCACTATCAGTTTTGCCCAAAAAACAATTAAAAACATGATATTTTCTGCAAATATTACATACGTCCTGGTTTACTTGCATCACTCCTGCTCTCTGGAGTGGAAATGAGTGATGCAGGGAAGTGATCCAATTAGATAGGTCTCACTTCTAATTAACCTCGCTGCCATCACACAGCTCAGCTGTTCTGTAGTAGCACCTGACATATGGTCATGGCAAGAAAGCAAGAACATACCCAGTGTGAGTGTGTGTGTGGTATATGTGTGTCTATTTCTGTCTTCATGTGCATTTGCGTGTTCAGTGCAGTTGTGATGTGTTTAGTCAAGGTCAGCAGCAGCGCAGGGAGCCGCCCCAGTCATGGTTCATCAGCAGACTTTGCTGAGTGGCTGGTTGCTTGCCACACTGCACATCCAATGACCAGCTTTAATGAGAACTGATGCTGTGTGTCAACAGTATGTGTATTTATGACCGCTTTGCCCACGATGCTCCTTGCCTCTGCAGAAACAAAGCAGACAGCAGGCATGCTGAATGGCTAGTTAGTCCGAAAACGCACCTATTGACTGTGCAGCAGAGGTCCAGTTCTGCACTTAGGGTTGTTGTTTATTGGTATCATTCCAGTCAGTTATTTCAGGGTTGTTTTCACTGCTGCTTGATTTGTTAAAGCAACTATTTAGTGAGTTTTAAGGCAGGTTTTTCGCTTTTATTCTCACTGGCGTAGCTTTTAAAAGCAGTACTAATGAGGTGTGACTTAAATCCACTGTTTTGTGTGGTTAATTTGCTGTAGGTGGGCTTACAAAGCAGTGAAATGTTGTTCAAGGTGCAACATCTTACAAAACATTTGAGATTAACTCCCTGTGAATAAGAGCCCAAATTCTCTGACCGCATCTTTTTAAATGCTAATTGTTTTTCACTCTGTAATGCAACCTTGCCCAGTGTCTTTCCTATCTGTTTTTAATGACAACACGGCTTCAAGGTGAGAGACTCTCAACAGGAAGAAGTGATAATCTGGATTGATTGTTCTTTAACATTCTTTTGTCTGGTCTGAGACTTCTCACACCCACTGAAGGTCTCACACATCCTTAGGCGTAGTTCAAGCTGTGAGCTACTTGCTGCTCTTAGGACAGCTGGTGAAGGTGGAGGTGTTTCTGTGCTCTCTCTCGTGTGTGTGCATGTGATAGAGAGGTATAAGAAAACAAAGGAACACACTGCTGTTAAAAAATAGTAGCAGAAGTGTGAGAATCAAACCCGACTTGAGTTCAGGTGCAGGAGAAAGACATAATTGTCAAAAGGCTCAACTTAAAAGTCAGTGTGCAGAAACTGGTGTTGCTCTACGACGATCAGATTTAGAGAATAAGTAAGCCTTTATTTCAAGCCAGTGCTGAAAATAGAATTTTAAATGCGTGTATTTCCCTGTCAGACTTCAGTTCAAAGAAATAGAATAGAAAGGTTTCAGAGGCAGACACAGCCCCAGTCTGACTCTTGCATATGAATTCCAGCAGACGGTGAAAAATTCAAGCAAGTCAAACAGCCGAAAGCATGCCAACAGAACTGAGTGAGTTGACAAAAGCGGTGCCAGGAGGAAAATGTGGCGCTGTTTGGCTTGCAGAGCCAACAAAGTCAGACACTCAGTCGACATCTGAACCCTCATGCATAAATTTCTTCACAGGTTTTCAAGTCAAGTGCGGCAATACATTGTTTTTTTGCTGCATTCAAAGTTCAGAACTGGATTTTGTTGAGTTTCAAGTAGGGAGGTGACACAAATTGTCAGAAATGCGTTACTTGAACGGTGTTTCCCTCATGCTGTTATTACATTTCATCAGTTCCTCTCCAGACATATGTTCACATGTTCCTCTGCAGTCATTGACATTCCCCTGAAGTGATGTCACTTATTCATGGACATAAGCAGGAATGCTGCCCTCCTTTTTCGTCGTCTCTTTCTCTTTTCCTGTCAGATCTTTTTAGTGCAGACTTGCTCTTTTTAAATGCTAATTTAGATCTTCAAACAAATACATAATTTTTATGTCAACCACGCAGCCTCCTCTTCATCTCTACAGTCCATACATTTGCATTCAGCAGAATGATCTAACATCAAGTACTTTGTCTTCTTTGTGTCTCCCCAGTGGCTGGCTGCAGCTCGGGTCCTCATGCCCTGTCTTGTGAGTGCTGCTTGGCCTGCTGAGCCCGTAGGTGTGTCTGTACTGGGCTGCAGCTGAAGCACGTCTACAGCGACTGGGTGGTGGTGGAGGTGGGTCGTCAGAGGGCCCACAGCAGGCGAAGAGGCCTGTCCAGTCCCAGCCACACGAAGATGAACAAACTGAACTTCCACAACAACAAAACCATGCAGGACCGCCGCTGTGTTTGTGTGTTTTTGCCCAATGATGACACACTCAACGTCATCGTCAATGTGAGTAGACGCATAAACACTTTAAAAACATTTGTAGTTATAATAATGCTGGTCTCAGTCTGTTAAAGAGGCACAGAATAACTTACTGTGCCCTCCAAACCTGCTTTGTCTCAATGAAATCCAAACAGTTTCTGGCAGTTTTGTTTTTCTCTGTCAGAGTTTTACCCATTGTGGGCTCTATTTTTTTATTTTTATCACCAAGCTCTGTATTTCGATGGAAACCAACCATGGCTAGATGTAGAGAGAACTAAAAATATCCTTTGTGCAGTATGACACTGTTATAATGTCATAAGTCTTAAAAAACCAAAGTTGAATTTCTTTATTTATTGTACAAACATTTTAAAGAACCTGGACTCAACATGTACAGCATATATTTCCAGTTGCTGGTGTTATAAAAGGTGCTGCCAATACTGGAATACAAAGTGGTGGCTTTACAGTATAGATATTTAACTATTTACATTTTGTTTCCATACTTGTCTTTTATCTACTTTCTCTAAACACAGGTCTTTCAAACCTGGCAACAGGTTTTGAGCTTTATCGATAAACAGGAAAAATGGCAAATTTATTTTCTAAATATATTTCATAGTCAGATATGGATAAAAAATAAACCCTGTCCCCACTCTTTCACACGTGCATCATTAAAGAAATGCTTTGACAGTTTGTTACACATGGGGAAATGATGTGCCTTTTTGCTGAGACTTGAGATAAGATGATTAACACCACTTTAATGTCTGTACAATAAATCTAAACTTTGGTTAGCTTTGTTGAGGATAAAGGCTAGAAACAGGTAAACAGTAGCAGCACGCAACCATCCCTAAATCCAAACCTTTTAAAAGTTTATCCAAATATTTTAGAGTGCTGATTAAACATACATGCAATAACACATTATTGAACTTCAGACATGTTGCAGATTTTATTCGCTTCAAAAAGAGCCAGACTAGCCGTTTTCCAAATGTTTTCACTCTTTGTGCTAAGCTAAGCTTACTAGCTGCCAGCTGTAGTATTTACCCTGAGCAAAGTGAATAAACTTTGCTCCTAAGTATGTTTCGGCTTACACAAGTGTGCTGCACATGTATGCACTAGCTGCTAATGGCATTTCATAACATAATAAATGCATTAACTGTCTGGTAGCATGTGTGTGGTAATTTATGGTTGTGTTATTTATGTGATTGCTAACAGATGCTCACAAAAGCTAAAAAAAAAATCTCCTGATATCTCCTCCTCAGGTGAAGACTTTGTGCCAGGAACTGTTGGTCCAGGTGTGCGACCTCCTCAGACTGAAGGACTGTCACCTGTTTGGACTCAGTGTTATTCAGAGTAAGACTTGTCTTCATCCCAGGGGTTCTTTTGGGAGGCGGGGTCACATGTGTTGCTTTGTTGTGCGCCACACACACAGATTATTTATCTTTGAACTCACTCATCTGCCACACTGGTTGTTTTTAATGATATGAGCAAGTTTTGATTCTTAACTATGCATTGATGTGTTTAGATATAATTGCCATGCAAATTTTCAAAACGATACACAACACAAAGGAAGCCAGGAACAAAACCAGGGGTGTGTTCCAGCATCTGTATTGCTATAGTATATAATATGTCAGAAAAAAGAACAAGTATGTGCCATGACATAGTATATCAGTTGTAGTACACTCTCACCCACAGTCCCTCTGCACAGTTATGTCACATAAACAAGCTTAGCCGATGAGAGTGCAGACAGGTAGCAGCTCATTAGACTGCAATGGTGAAAATTTAAGGCGCGTTGTTACGACAAAGTAGTATGTCCCAGTTGTATCTGCACTGCATGAAACAGTATGCACTTTATAAGGGCAGCTGCCGTACATACTTAAAGTAAAATAAAAATCTATGTGATGTGGAAGGCAGCCCAGGATTTCCAGCTGTTTAAAAGATCACATAGAGGAAGAAGAAACTTTAGTCATCTGTGAGAGAAGTATGTGTAGAAGTCTTTAGCAATTCTTTTACATTCAGGAAAGTTGTTTTTATTGTTTCATGTCAGCTGGTATCAACTATGTTTGATGCTTTCTGGTGGCAAAAACAACAAAGGAAGTGCAAACAGCTCATCAGTTATGTGAATTAAATGTTCTCTATGTTGCAGCTTCGACCCTAAACTGTTCTTTTCCTTTCAAATCTTGCTACTCCTGTTACTTTTTCCAATGCAAACCTACACAATGCACTTTAAAAATATTAGGGAAAACCACCCTGATTCACCAAGAGTCACATAAAAAACTGTTACCAGACAGTCACTATCCTCAGACCAACAACTTGGCTGAGTAACAGGAGTCGTCTCTGAACGTAGCATCTCTCACCTATCTGTCATGACGGTTTCCCAGGAACGAGGCCCTCCTCGTCCTGACTGGCTCTCATTGTGTGGCGAGACCACAGTTGTTTTTACGGTGACGAGGCTCGGCGACGGTCGTACGTACGGAATGAGTCACCGTGTCTGCACTGTGGTGGGGCAGACAGCGGGTGACAGTTGTAGGCAGCTGCAAAGGGAGAGTAAATTGCAAAGGCCATGTTTTCAGGCAGCTGGCCTCCAGATGAGCCAATGGCGGCCCAGCAGGTCAGTTGAGCAGGAGCCAATGGGTCTGATTGTGGGACATTCCTGAAGTGCTTGTCTGAACAGCGTGAAATCCCCAAGGCAAACAGAGGCCACCCACTCCCTGTGTGTCACCCACTGTCACCCCTGACCAGAGCATCTACACCAGACCCACGCTCAGATATAGCTGTGCTTTGTTGTGCTTTGAAATGCATTTACAAAAGGAAATAAGTCCAGCATTAATGAATTCTGTACCAGTGTAGGTGAGATGTAGGTGCTAATTCCCTCTCAGTGTGGACCTAAAACTATGAGTTGATAGCTTTTGACATGGATTTAATCTGCATTTATGTAAAAACTGAGTCAATTTAAATCAAAATAACCAAGATTTTCAGTTCCAGCCTCTCAAATGTGAAAAGTTGATGATTTTTTAGGACTCTGTGATTATAACCTGAATATCTTTAGGTACATATTCGCAGATCATTTTACCTACTCCTATCTGTTACAACTGCCAAGCTGTATTTTAAACATTCACATAATCTTTCAGAAATGATGCTCCGCTCTATGTGAACTGACATCACAGGCCACAAAAATTTAGCTTAAGGGTCACTTCACCCAAATACCAAAAAATATACTTTCCCACTTACCCCTGGTTCACTTCCACTTCTACCAATGCACGACCGCAAAAATAGGTCTGTGGATTAGCCCCAGTAAGAGGAATATTGTTTCTGGAAGGAGATAGTGCTATTGAGTATTTCAAATGTAATTTTTGGATTCCTTAAGTGCCACAAACCAAACTTAAGTGACCTCAAGTGTAATAACATGGCGGCAGAAGTCTCAGCTGCGGAGATCTCAAATCGTCACCAAATAAAACCAAAACTTTCTTGGGAAAAGTTTGAAATTTAACAGCGTGGAAACAAGGCGTCTCCATGGATCAGCATATTCTGGTCATTATATATGAACGAGTCATGTAAACAAACAGTCAAATTACAGACTGAAGTTGATAAAATGATGCATTGGCGCTCTGTCAGAGGGGCTCCTGCTCTTCATGTGCCTTTTGCTTTTCAACTGGTTCTCATTGTACAGACACTCCGAGTTGTCAGATCAGCAGGCTGCGACTTATGAAAGGCGTCACTTCAGGAGCAGATTAAGACGTGACAGAGAGAGGTGAAGAAATGAGACGGAGCAGCAGAGGCTCAGACTACAAAGCGGAGTGCAGAAGCTGACTGATGTGATTGCTATGAGGCGGTCTTTGAACGGGGCTCATTCAGGGGGGATTTCGTGCACAGACACACGTGAATTCATCTACTGTATATGTCCAGGTGTGCACACTCACATACCGATGACAGTGTCTGAGCTCAAACCGTGTCTCTCCTCCTTACAGATAATGAACACATCTATATGGAGCTGGATCAGAAACTGTCCAAGTACTGCCCCAAAGAATGGAAGAGAGAAGCCAGCAAGGTGAGAAATGATGTGCTGGGTTTTTGACTTTCAATCACAAGTTTAGCAGAGGACAGTAAGTCTCTTTTTGTCCACGTATATTCTACATAGCTTTCCAACTTAAGTCACAAAACTGGATTAAATAGATCCTCTACCTTCACAAAATGTACACAAATAAAATTCAGTATCAGACAGGTATGCTTTCCTAGGTAGCAGAAATGTAAAACTCTTTTCTCAAAATGCAGGGATCTAAACTAACTCTTTCAACTTTCTCAGGTAGTTGCACCAGCACATGATGTGTGACCAAACATTACTTTTTATCTTACATTTGCTGTTTTCTATGTGTGGACGTTTCCACAAGCGGAGCACATTTTCAACATCAATGCTGCAGTCAGTCTTGTTCATTTAATTGTGGGAATCCAGGAATCGTGATTGCTGTTGATTTGTTTAATTTTTTAGCCTTAGTGCTGCATTAGTCATTGTAAGTGAATGTAGTGAGCTACATTTTCTTTGTAACAGACTCAAACCACATCTTTGGAAAACAGTAAAAGCTTAATGGATTGTTTCACACGTCAAGCAGGGACAGAATGAGGAGAAAAAAAAAGTGCTATTTTCCTCCACAACAGTTGTAGCTAGTTCTGTCTAATGAATATTGTGCACTTGTACAAATACAACCATGTGAAATTTTGAGTCTCTCACTCTCAAAAAGTGCAGTCTGGAGCCCTGAAATGCAAAAGCCACATTGGAGGACTCACCAGTCTTCTGTGGATTCAGGCTATCTCAAAGTCTTCTGTCTCTTCATGTAGTCGCAGACCGACTTCATGATGTGGACATCAGGGCTCTGTGGGGGTCAGACCATCTGCTGCCAGATCCCTTGTTCTTTTTGCAGCTGAAGATAGTTTTTTATAACTCTGGCTGGATGTTTGGGCTTGTTGTCAAGGTGCAGAATGAATTTGGGTCAGATGCCTCTCTAGTTTAGATAAAGGCATTTGAAGTGTTTAAAAGGTATCATAGCTGCGAGTATTTGCCTGTTTCTACTGCTGTGTTTACAAATGTTAGTGATGTAAATGCATCAGAAATTATGAAAATGTTTATTTTCTTCAGTGTAACTAATAACCAAGACAATGAGGTCACCTTTCTGTTTACATTTTTGTGTGACCTGCTGTGTTTTAGCTCAAATATTAACTAATGACATGTCAGCCTAGTTGGTAAACACACGTGTTTCTACTGTGTTTGCTTATATCATGTGATACAACATCTGAGAATCAAGTTGGAATGTTTTTATAACTGTTTACTTGTTCCAGCTGGACACAGAACTCCCAGAAGTTCCCTCAGAAGCTGCTCTTTTTTGTCTGACTTCTTACTTTCCATACACTTGATCTAACTGTTAATTGTGTAGTCTGATGTGAGGTTTAAATTCTGCTGGTTGCAGTGAATAAACAAGTATTTTCACTCACGTGTATTTCAGGGCATCGACCAGTTTGGGCCTCCAATGATCATTCACTTCAGAGCTCAGTATTACGTTGAGAATGGGAGATTGATCAGGTCAGTAAAGATTTACATGTCAAAACAATGTTCAATGGAAAAAATGCCTGTACAAATTACACCAACATCCCTCCGCTTAGCTCCAGTTATCCTTTAAAGCTGGTTAAATCTGCTTTCTGTCTGCCCTGCAGTGACCGGGCAGCCAGGTACTACTACTACTGGCACCTGAGAAAACAGGTGCTGCTCTCTCAGTGTATCCAAAGGGAGGAGGCCTACTTCCTCCTGGCAGCCTTTGCCCTGCAGGCTGACCTCGGCAACTTCAAACGCAACAAGCACTTTGGGAAATACTTTGAACCTGAAGCCTACTTCCCCCCATGGGTGAGTATATATAACGTGCACCGCATGCGTGCTGAGCCCCTACATGTCAAACTTATCAGGGAAGAGGAGGGAGGATTTAAAACGACAGACCATCATCCTGCACATTCACACACTTTACCTCCCTGTTCACACCAAATCATACATGGGTTTTCTCCATCTTTTAGCACCTACACCTGATCACATTTTACATTACTTTCACACACAAAACATGATATTGTTTTACTTGAATACCTTGGACCTTTTCTTTTACACATTAGGCTGGGTTTTTTTGTGCGTAGGGTATGGTTTTATTTGATCCATTAATAATTATACTGTCAATTAATTTGTTGATTAACAACCAGTTAGTTGTTGCTGTAAGTTAGCTGTAAATCACAGCTCAGCAGAGTTCAAAGTGTCATTTGTAAATGTCTCCTTTGGACCACTACAGGTGCAAAGCCCAAAGGTATTCAATATAAAATTATTTAAATGACAGGAAAAACAGCAGTTTTACCCTGTGCATAAGCTGGAGAAAGCTAATGTTTGGCATTTTTGCTTAAAAAGTCCCTGTGGGTGGACAACCTGGTGGTCTTATATGCTTTTCTTATCTGTTCTTCAGACTAATTGTACAGTTTGCATCGTTAAAGGTGCTTTAAGTCAGTATTTTATTTTGAAAGTTCAGTTACCGTTAACCAGCTACCACTGTCAAGTTGGACGGAGATTAGCAGCAAGTAGACCAAGATCATGAAAGAAGTGTCAAAGTGGGCAACTACCATTTCCAGTCAGACGTTTTTGAATAATATCTGAGCGAAAAACAGGATGCAGGTTTTTCTAAGTTGGCCTTTAAACTTTGAGTTAAATCTTGATTTTGCGTCCAAGCAACAAAATGAACAACTAATTATGTTATCACATGAGCCGATCTCGGTATCTCCTGAATCGCGGTTCTGTCCTAAATGCTCTTGATGTGATCTTTTGGCCACATCACCAACCATTTAAAGTGGCTCCAGGGATTTATTGTGTGTGATCAATGGACTAAAATCTAAATCAAAATGTGACTTAATGATGTCATTACAAGAAAAGCTATTCTATAATGACAATTCCAGATGTTGTTGTACTTTATTTTGATTGCATTCTGGTGGAGAGCCACTGTATACACACAAAAAAGTAATGTTAAAAGTGAGTAATGCAGCGGACACATTAGTTTATCAGACTAGTAATCCTTCTGTGGTGAGTCCGTCTGATACACTAGTGACTCACAGTGGATGTCCTTGTTTAACACCAGTGAAATAAAGGGTCTAAGATGCGGAAGACCAAAAATAAACTGCTGTATCACTGACTGAGGAGCTGAAAGTACAGTGAAGGTTGTTAGAATGTGTTTGTGGCTGTCAGGCATTGTCCTGTCTGTCCTGCAGTGTGTTCAGTATGTGGGTCTGAAGCCACCTTCCATTAATCACGCTGACCAAACACTAAGCAGCAGCTCCACATCTGAGCATGTGGGATAATAAAAACTGGGACACCAAGTTTATTTTTGTCCCTGGAAGTGGCACACACTCTGTTTTTCTTTTTCCTCTTTTTTTTTTATTTTAATCTTGAGAAACATGGCTGTTCTGGCAGCACTGCCCCCCACCACCACCACCACCACCACCACCCGTCTGAATATGACAGCCACACCCGTCTGATTGCCCTCCACTTCCTGTGATTAGCCTCCTGCCTCCTTATCGCTACTCCAAGCCAGCGGTGACAGGAAATTGTTTGAAGATGAACAGTGTGCGTTACTCTACAGTAAATCTCCCACAGATTTAGGTGCTTAGAAAGCTTACTTACGTAGAAAATCTTCAAAAGCCGCTCGCAACACTCAGCGGGGGTGTTTCCGGTTGCTGTTTCTGGCTCCCGTTCAGTCTCTCCGGGTTGACATCTGTTTGCCCTGCGGCAAGCAGCTTCATTACCCTCATTGGCAACCTGCGCTGCCAGTCTGCTATAATGAGTCTGTACAACTTCAGGGCGGCCAAGCCTGATGGCGCTCTCCCTCTCTTTCTGTGTTTTCCTGCTCAGGTGATAGCCAAGCGTGGCCGTGAATACATCCTGAGGCATATCCCCAACATGCACAAAGACCAGTTTGCTCTCACAGCTTCAGAGGCGCATCTCAAGTACATCAAGGAGTGTGCCCAGCTGGATGACGTCACAGTCCACTACTACAGACTCTACAAGGTGAGAAACCATAATTACACGACCTGATAACTAGCTCTTGTGCTAATAAATAACACAGATGGCGTCATTGTTGTTGTCTTAAAGAATTAATCTGATATCACTGCTATAATTTTTTTATGTGTAAAGTTTTTGGCTAAACAAGGTTTAAACCCTCTGAATGCCTCACAGTTCCTTGGCGTTCTTTGCTTTTTTTTAACATACCGTTTGCTCGTTTGTCACTGTGATATAAAGTCCTGCACCTCTATGGAAACAGCACAACCACGGCTCGAGGTTGAGGAAACTTAAAATGTCTTTTGTGCAGTATGATGCAGTTATAAGGCAGTAAATCATAAAACAGAAAAAACAAAAGTTGAATTTCCTTGGTCATTTATTTTACCAAAATTGCTAAAAAATAAAACCAAACAAACAAAACAAAACAAAAAACCTTGCATCAACATGTACAACGTGTTCAAATACAAATAGTTACCAATGTTGGAAAAAATGTTGACTCTCCATGCTAAATATTTCACTACTTGTATTTGTAATTTGCTTCCGTACTTGTCTCCTGTCTGTTCTGGATAAACACAGACTGCTGTTTAGCTGAAAAGTCCCTGAATTTTTGTAACGTGACTGTTGGTCACAGCTGAGTCACTAACGGCTTCCCGGCTGTGCTGAGGAGCGCAGAATATTTCATGTTTGTGCTCAGAGCAATTCAGTTTTGGCAAATTTTTCAATAGGACATTTAGAATAAAGTGATTCACATGTTAAATATCACAATTTTAAGCTTTGATTTAATTAAGTTTTCTAATCAAACGGCACATTGCCAATAAGTAGCTTTTGGAAAGTTAAAAATCTGACCGTTCTCTTTGTTTTGATTGTTTCTGGCTCTGATAGACAGCATGTCCAACCCGCCATCAGGTTGTGGGGTTCAGAGGATTAATGCACTAACAGCTCATTAGATTTCAGGTGATTCTGCTCAGTTTTCTCCTCATCTTTAAATGATTTCTTCTCTTTTAACAGGACAAAAAGGAAGTTGAAGCATCTCTGACATTGGGGCTGACTTTGCGTGGGATCCAAATATTCCAGGTACAGTTAGCGATTAAGATTATATTTGTACTTTTACTACAATGACATGTACTTAGATTTTAGTGTGCTGTTACTGCTACAGTTGTTAGTGCAGCAATAAACTCGTCTCAGTTCATCAAATGTGAAGGTGTGCAGATTGTCTCTGTTTCGTATCTGAGTACCTTTAGTGCCAAAATGCAAATCAAACCCCTTGAAGCTATCATTTGTCCCACAATCTGTCAAGCTGCTGAACAATGTTGTAATAGGGTAATGTACAATATATATACACAAAGACTTAACATCATTAACATTTCCTTTCTTAACTATTGTGTTTATTGATATTTCTTTTATGTCAGGCCCCTCTAGGAGTGTGAATAAAGTTTACTTTGTTTTGATTTACTTATCTGAAATCTGCAAGATGTCAGTTTTGTCTTTTGTAAGCTGTACTCACATTTTCTGACATTTAATAGCCAAAATCACCAATCAGTTGATCAGAAAAGTAAATGACAAATTAATCAGACGTGAAATTAAATGTTAGTTGCTGCCAAATTACAGAATATTACAAACTGCTGCTCTCTGAGCTCCTGATTCAGAAAAACGCCTGAAATAAGTTGATAGTTCTGCACTGGCAGATTTCTTCCTTTTTTAAACAACAAAGTCAGACACTCAGAGCTGGATATAGAACAAAAGCTACTTGTCAGGAGTCTTTACAGTAAGTTGCAGCAGTGTTGTCATTTCTTCTTTGTTGAATTTTTAATCAGCTGGAGAGCATCCACATAATTGTGCCTCTGTGTTGCAGAACGTCGGCTCTGTGAGGCAGCTGTTGTACGACTTCCCCTGGACCAATGTGGGAAAACTGGTATTTGTGGTGAGTCACATGCAGTATCATCATTTGTTTTGTTTTTGTTTACTAAGATGACGAAACCCGAGCATCCTCTGGCTTATTGCGATGTTTGTGAAATCCTCGCTGCCGCTCACGGTCGTGGAAATTTTTACGCAAGGCTTCTTTTCCCCACACTGCTGTTTTATCTTAGCCCTGCAAGTCCTCTGGAACTAATCAGGGATTTAGGAAGACTTTCCTTGCACACACACACACACACAGACACACTAACTGTACATATATATTTTCATGTAATCAGCAGTGGGACTTTCTCTTTTATGGTATACAAGCCTCTTGATTCATCTCTTTTATCAATTATCACTGTTGTCCCTGCGCCCTTTAAAATAATACCCCGTTAAATCTTCCCATCTCTGCTCTGAGTCAGCTTGTCGTTAAGCTGAGCGCAGCAGTCGCTTAATTTACTTCCATAGGGTTTCTGTTATCGCAGGAAGGCAGAGAAGCTTACTATATATCTGTTTCACTCTGACGGATTCACATTTTCAGCCAGTTGGCTATTAATCACAATCCAGGGAGGTCATTATTACTTATCACAGCACGAAAGCGGGGCTCCTCGTGGCTCTAATTTTTGCTACCTCTTTATTTTTATGCAGTGAAGTGGACTTTACAGGCTGCAAGGTCTCTGAGAAAGTTGTTTTGTTGTCCCAAGAGGGAGTTTTGGTTTGGTCTAATTTTGGCGCAAAACAACCATCGCATCTGCCACATAGTTCACGGAAAAGACATCCTGTTTTCCTCATTCTTGTTTTTTCGGCGCGTCGGCCGTCTGCAGCATCGTGAGAGTGAATGCGCGGTGGCGTGGCTGCGGTTTCACTGTGGACCCGAAGGGCCTCTCGTGGCCCTGTCCCACCCTTCTCCTGAATAACAGGCTTTCTCCTCCACCCCACCCACGAGTCACGTCATCCAACACCGCTGCTGCAGCAACAGGCGAGCCAGAGAGCAGAGCGAGCAGAAGGACGCGCGGGTCAATAAACACCAGATGTTGTGATGGTTTTGGGGAGGGGGGATTTTCGATTCAGGCGTTCGGCCTTTGGAATAACTTCAGCTCATCTTTGGTATCAAGCCTTAAAGGAAGGAGGGTGTGTTTTCTGCTTGCGTTCGGAAAGGGTGGATTTCAGTCTTTCTCAGGCAAGAGGTTGCATTTGTGCTTCTCCTGAGCCTGTGAGGGTTTGATCTGCTGCCTCTGAAAGCTGAGATGAAGTCATCACCCCGTGTCATGTGGTGTTGGATCTTAGTCCAACCTCTGGCTCACCAGTGCTCTGGTCGATGCTGGTCTTGTTGAGGAATAGTTGGACAGCAGCTCCTTGGCGATGGCGTGTTTTCGATGTGTGTGGCCTGTTCGGGAGGTCTTTTATGAAGGGGAAAACAGTTGTCCAGCGACTTTAGATGGACTGATCATGTGCACTGCATGAAACCAGAAACTTGTCTAAAGTGGTTTCTGAATACCTTTTAATAACCTGCCACTTGACACCAGTCTGCTGCTGCTGTGACTTCGTCTTTAGTTACCACCAGCAGGGAAGCTGTTGATTTATTATGTCTGGTTCTGGTTTTTGAATCAGTTTTGCCCATTTGATATAAATATTAGCCAAATCCTGAACGCATACATATCCTGCTGTAACAACCAAAACTAGGGGTCGACTAATGTGGTTTTCTTCAAGGCTGACACAAAACTATTAGTAATCAAAGACAGCATAACCAATACATGTACATTCACAGTGACATTTTAAAGTCCTGGTTTCAAAATTTAGAACTCAAACTGTATGGTTCATAAAATAGAACACAATGAAAACCTTTCTCATCCATTTACAAGGATTACCAACAAATGGTTTGTTGGGTTTCATGTTAAAAACGTGTTTTGTGTACCTTTAGAACTGTAAATTCTTAGTTGAAGTGCTGCTGCAGCCTGATGCAGATTAGGAAAACTATAAACCAGATTCCCATGTTGACGACCTTCAAATGTTTACATCGACTGCTGCATGACTGTGGAGTTAGTTGTATGACGATTACAAATACTGTACTTTGACAATATAGAACTTTATCACTCAAACTTTGATGTTTGACTTGGTGTGTCTGCAAACTAAAGATTAGAGTACAATAGAAGTTCCTAGTCGTAACTTGGAAGGTAAATATGAACAACGAACCCCAAAGCATGCAGGAAACATTTTATGCTCTGTGGATATTAGCAAAGTCTGAACAACGGGAGCGACAGTCTGTAAAATACTCCACTGGTGCCCTTCTCTGTTCAGTCGTACACAGATATTTACTGTACACAGTTACATACGGACATAAAACCTAAACAATATCTGCATGAGTTCCCTGTTGGCTTTGAGGTTTAGTCAGCGACCATGAAACTTATGAAATGCAGCGTCTCCGGTTTGTGGGTTGGATGTCTTTGTTTTATGCCCCTTCTCCCTCCCTTCATTTCCTGCCTACTGTTGTCTATTTAAGAGAAAGAATTCTGTAAAAACTGTCCTGTAACATGTAAATTTTCACCATGTTAAGCTATGACGTATAGCCTGTAAATATAGGCAGTAAAAACCAAACCAAAACAGCAGACGGTTTAAAAGGTTTAGGATAGAAAAGCATTGCCTGGGAGAATGAAGTTCACAGTAGCCTGCTCGGACTCTCACATTGCCTCATGCACACCTGGCTGCTGCCCATTTCGACTTCAGTGTTTTACTGGTGGCCTCCTGGAGCAGCAGAGCGGCAGTTTGAGGTTAAAGATAAATACTCAACTTGAGGGATGGAGGAGAATTTCTCCTGCAGTTTCCCACCCAGAGTTTTTCTGCCAGTCCAGGGATTTTAACAGGAAATCTTGCTGCCTCTGCCCACAGAAATGTTCTTTTATAGGAAAGCTACTTTCAGAGAACTGTCAGTTGGATTTTATGAACTCATTTCCCTACAACACAGAGCTGAACATCTACAATGTGCTTCCCAACCTATACATAAGCTCTAACCGTGCTTGGATTCATCTGCTTTCTCTAAAAACGTCTGGACAAATACAGTGAAGCTCTGCCCTCTAGTCAGAAATGTGCAGCTCTTTGCATTTTTTGGAGGTTTTAAACCCACTCGTCGCCTCTGAAAGTCCAAACCCTTGCAGAAATGTTTATGGGTCTGTATTGAAAACAACCCCGCTGACACCAAAGACAGCTGTTATTGGGTCGAGGCTCTGCCAAAAGGCGCAGGAGAAAGCACAAACCCACCATTTTAGTTTTTCCGTGCATCCAGCCAACATGTCCTCTCTCTGGAAAATCATCAAAACTGCACAAAAATGCTCAGTTTTAATGTGGAAATGAAGAACAGATACACAAACGGACCGCTGCTTTGTGTTCGGCCGCAAAAAAAAGTTTTCAAGAACAGGCTTTGTTCTTCCGCTGATGTTTGCCTTCGGGGCCTTCCTGACACTTACTCATTATTTCAAATCCACATTCCAGTTTCATAATCCTTGTATTATTATTAACTGCTGTAAATCACCGAGTCCTGTAATCAACATTCATGTGCTCTCCTCTTTTTTTTTTTCTTTTTTTTTCTTCCCTTCCTTCCACGTTCTCAGGGGAAGAAGTTCGAGATCCTCCCTGACGGTTTGCCCTCAGCTCGTAAGCTCATCTACTACACAGGTTGTCCCATGCGCTCTCGACACCTCCTGCAGCTGCTCAGCAACAGCCACCGGCTCTACATGAACCTGCAGCCTGTTCTCAAACAAGTCCGGCGACTGGAGGAAAACGAAGGTATTCATATCTATTATGTAATTGCTGAGTGTGTACCAACATGATGGCATTTAAGTTGAATAACTTCAAAGCCAGCTCTGCTTAAATTTTTTTTTTTTAAGTTTTTTATCTTGCTACATGTCCATATGGGGTTTTATTTATATCCCAGAAGACATGTCATAAGTGAAACAATCAGTCAACCTCAGTTTCTCTTTGAAACTGCAGTGGACTGATGATAGTGTCAAAGTTCAGACTTCCAGGGTTTCATACATAAGAACCGTAAGGATTGAGCTTTCTGTGTCAACCTTCTTCAAAATGGCTGAATTACTCCAGTATTACAGTTACAGTTGTGTAATGTTGTGAGGTTTGATAGTGTTTGAGCAGAGTCATAAGTGAGCTGGTGTGCTTGAGCTGCCGTGAGTGGAGAGCGAGGCAGGGGGGACCTCGAGCCAGACTTTCTAGACTTACATCTAACTCATTTTAGGCAGGAAAGGATTATTTTAATGGATAAAACATAGAAATGTGAAAGTTTTTCTTACACAGAGATTTTAGAGGAAACTTAGCGTGACAGCAAATACTCTTTGAGCAGCTGCTTGGTGAAAATACAACAGAGGAGGGAGCAGTACAATCAGGAACATGTAGCCCCTCTTCTGAAAGTGGCATTACGCATTTTAGTTTTAGTACCAATTATCCAGAAAGTAATATTCATTAACTTTAGAGATGCACTTTGGTAGATTTGGTCACGATTTGAGAGCCAGACTTGCTGTTTCCTGTTTCTATTGTTACCACTAAGCTCGGCTAATTGGCTGCACACAGTGTCCTTACATTTAATAAACAGTTTTGACATTGGAGTCACTATTCTCGTCGAACCAGAAATAGTTGTTTACTAGAATGTTATACTTTTGCTTTAAACTTTATAACTTAAATACAATATTTTAAGTTATGGCACAGAGAAATGACATTTTGAGCAACAGTGTATCACCCTTGTGTCAAAAAAAAAAAAAAAGATTAAGGAAGTATTTTTTATTACAGTATTGTGCAGACAACTTGGAAAAATTCAGCCCAAACAGATCGAGGTGTATCGACTCTCGGTGTTCATCAAGGTCTGACAAAGCCACAGAGTATTGCCTCTGCTCGGAGAATGAATTATTAATGTTATTTCACCTGAAGACCAAGTTCTTCCAGGTTGTCTGCACTGTATTGTATTTGTATTTACATCTGATCGTAGAGCACCTGTCGGATCAGCCATCGGAGCCATGCGGCGCTTCCTTCCTCCTTCGTAAACTGTTAAATATTAAAGTTTGCCTCTGTTTGTGTGACTTCAGAGAAGAAGCAGTACCGGGAGTCGTACATCAGCGATGCTCTCGAGCTTGACATGGATCATCTGGACAAGCGTTCGCGAGCCAGCGGCAGCAGCGCAGGCAGCGTGTCTCACCACAAGCGTCTGTCTCGCCACTCCACGACCAGCCACGGCAGCTCGCACACCTCGGGCATCGAGACGGACAGCTTCCGGGCCCCGGGTCAGGCCCCGCACAGGCCCCTACGAACCTGCAGCTCATCCACAACCAGCCACGGGAGCTCGCACACCTCTGGCATCGAGAGCAGCGGCAAGGAGCGCATCTTAGATGATGATGGTAACAGGACGAATTTACTTACATGTGAAACAAATCTGCTCGACCTTCTGCTCGACCAACTCTGATTTGTTTGAAACTTTACCATAAATATGGACATTTAGAATAATATGTGACATTTTAGCTTGCAATACCAAATAATTTCCAAAATAAAAAATTTTTTTTAAACTTTTGAGATTAAATTATGATGCTACTTTTGACATATTTACTCGCACATTGAAATTTGAGGCTATGTTTGATAGACAACATCTCACGAACTATTAAAGATAAAAGCCTGAAAGTTTCACTGTGGTTTCTCAGCATGCCATTGATTCAGAATCTCCAATACTGGAATATAATCTCTGACTATGGGTACATGACATATGAGTGAAGCCTAATTATTTAAACTCCCATCTTTGAGAGCACATTACCAACAAAACAAATTTGATGATTTGAGATGTGATGACCCATCAAGACATTTACCTTCTTTGGTAAACATCAACGTTTCTTTTTAATTAAGTGATTTTAGATTTCAACTAACATTTCCCACATGAATATATCCGCAAAATTAAAGCTGCAAAACTCAACCTGATTAGCATCAGTAGCAAACAACACAACATGTAATTAAAGAGAGAAGTTGTCGTCAGCAGATAATAGTGAACACTGATGGCTTGCAAAGGGATGTCTGGGATTTGATCGTGCACCAACAGAGCTGCAGACGTAATGATGAGACACTAGAAACGTGCAGATTCCCAACTGTAAGCTTTGAGTTGTAATAACTGAAACAGCGTTTGTTCCTGCAGAGATTGAGATGCTGGTGGACGACCCCAAAGACTACGAGGAGCTTCATGAGATGGCTCTGGATCAGGAGCTGTGCATCCACATCACGGAGGACATGCTGACCATGTCGCCTGATCAGACCAACGGATACTCAGGTACAGGTTCTCAATGTTTCTGCTCTGTTGAGAATAAAAAACCCGGAATAATTTACCACCTGGCCTCTCTGAGCTCACAGAGGCATTCTGTATCTAAAACATTTTCTTGTGTTCTTTTAAGGACTGATAGTAAAAGATGTCAGCTCCTCCACTTCCAGCTCCTCGGAGACCGTCGTCAAGATGAGAGGACAGAGCATCGAGTCTCTTCCGCAGGTAATTCACATTTGCTGCACTGTTTGCACACAACAACATCCACATACAGCAAGAGAAACTCAAGATGTTACTGTGAAAGTGACAAAACTTTAACATTTTAGGGCCCATTTTGCTATTTTGTACCTAATCGTACGTGACAGTGACTCCTCTTCAGCTCAGTGGAGTTTAAAAATGATCATTGGCAATCTGTCAGAGTGAATTTTGTCTCCTCCTATTGTGTACTAATGTTTCACAGCTTTTTATGGCAAGAATAAAAAACAAGAAAGACAAGATTCTCCGGCAACCGCTGTTTTGTAGTTCTTTATAAATGGGCCTTTTGTATTGCGAGACGCTGCATCCTGCTCGGCACCTTATCTGGGTTGTAAATAATCGCGATAATAAGTGCTGGGATGGTGGTGTTTTTGTCTGCATTGTTGCATCGCTAGAAAACACTGTCATTAGTGTTTAGCCTACTGTGTAGCAAGCCTGAAAAAGATTTAGTGTCCCCGAACACAACATGTCAAATGCAGTGTGCAAAAATACAAGGAAGTCCTACTACGCCTACTGTCAGCCAGTAGAGAGAAAGAGTTTGTGGTTTGGAACACAGCCACAGTTCAGCATAAATGAAAATGACAATATTTGCCCATAAAGTAACTTCTGGACAAACTTTAATGCCATAAACGGATAATATTTGATTGAGAAGATTTGAACTCTGTCACTCTGCACTCTATAATCTACCTCATGTATCTACCTCATTGCCGGTGTGTACATTGTTTATCTGTATTTGCACTAGTATGTTACTGAGTTGTTTGTTTTCTCTCTTTTCTTTCATTCTATTTTTTATCCTTATTATCTTACTTGTCCTACATTTGTACATATATATATATTTATCCCTATTTGTTTTACTTATGTTACTTATCTTAATCCTTTTTTCCTACTTAATTTCTTACGTCATTGTTGCACTGCCTGCTCTTTGCAAAAAAAGTTTTCTGAATCTGAATATTTAACCTCTTAAACTTTCCAACTTTCCCCTCAAATCACTGACATGTTGGATTTGATTTGTTGTTTTCTACTCGCAGACGTCTGTGTGCAGGAAGCCTCAGTCTTCGACCGACCGCCACAGCCAGTCGCTGGACGACATCCGGCTCTACCAGAAGGACTGCCTGCAGTGGGCGGAGCTCTGCCAGGACACCGCCCACAGCTACACCTTCGGCTGCGCCCAGGAGCTGAGCGACGGCGGCGGCTACCAGGGCCTGGCCGACCAGCGCGCCGGCATGCTGGCCGACCAGCACTCGTTTCACATCAAGAGAACCAACAAGTACTTCTCCCTGGACCTGACCAGCGACGAGGTGCCCGAGTTCGTGGTGTGACGGAGGCCGAACGAGGCGACCTCAGGGTGACCGTTTCGCCGCTCCGTGCCGGACGTGGAGGAAGTTTCAGGCCTCAGGGAACAAGACGAGGGAGGAAAGTTGGAGAGTAAAGAGGCGACAAGTAGGCTGTTCCTTCACCTGAGACGTATAACACACAATAACCGAACAGACAAGAAGGAACACTGGGCTCTAAAGGAACCTGTGTCTTTTAAATGCAACCCGAACTGTGTCAAAGGAAACAAAAGGGATCATGTCAAATTCTTCAAAAAGAAAACTTAATCAAATCTGTCTCCTCCGAACTGTTTGTGTTCGCCTGCTTCGCAAAGTCATACAAAGACCGTTTGTACACGTAGGCTGGCGGCAGACAGACTCATGCACGGACATGACGAGCATATCGGAGACACGAAGGACAAATTCACTCTGAGCTAAAAACCAAAGACAAGAGATGGAAATAAACATCTGTTTCTGCGTCCAGCTTCATCAGGCAGGGAGGGAAGATGGACCCACAGTCGTCTGCGACAGAGCGGCCGTGACTCTCCTCTTCTACACCACTTCGTTTTACCTCAACAGGAAGTGCAGCGTGCCAACTCCCCCCTCTCAGACTGGACTCTGAGTCATGTGAACACAGCCGACGTGCCTTCATCACACTGTGCAGGTGTCTTCTCGCCTTGACAATCACACACCTTCACCGTCGTCAGTTTTGAAGCCATCAGAACTCAAGGCTCTGCTTTGTTTTTGAACATTGTGCGCACACCTTATCAGCAGGTCGAGCTGGTTGTTCAGCATTTAAATATCAAAAAGATCCTGATTTCACCCTGTTTTATGTCCTGTGAAACCTCAGCCAAGTTTCCTGGGAGGAATCAGGTCGAGTAAGCGTCAACATGTTCCGACTTGCGTAGAGTTTGTGGCCACAAAAGTTTCCCTGTAATCTAAACTCAAAATGGAGCCTGATTGGCTGTCAGCCAAAACAAGCCGCACATGTTGATGCATACATGTACGTCTTCCTCTTCTTCTGAGTATCTATTGTTTTAAACTGGAATTTGTTACATTTTTTACATTTCTCATCTTCTCGTCTTACCCTGAATCTCTTCAGACGTTGTATTTTTGTATATGATGAACAGTTACTCTGCGTGCGGTTGATTTCATTCAGTATTACGAGCAAATGTAGTTGACAGTATTAAGGACGTGTGGCTCTGAACAAGAAAGACTGGTTTCATTGTTTTAATGTCACAGTAATTTTCAAAAGAACTGAGCTGACAGGATTTAATTACACTACAAGTGGTGGACAAAGGACGAGACAAACAAGGCGGTTTGATTATTGTTATTACAAGTGCCACAGTTAATGCTTTCAGAGTTTTGCCTGTTCTATACCGATCATGTCAGATATGTTTTTTTAAAGATCAGTTTAGCTTCTCACACTAAGATTCATGTAAAAGTCCGTTTTACTTGTGAAATCATGAACACAGAATCGCATTTTTCATTTTTGCATTCAAGCAGTTGAAGTCGTCCTTTAAGTTATTGAAAAACATGAGTTTAAAAAAGGTGGTTTCTGCTGTTTTATGATTTAAGGGAACGTTTTGGGAAACAAATGCGAATCCACTTTCTTGCCAAGTGTGAGATGAGAAGATCTAAACCACCGTTGTGTGTCTGTGTGTGTGTGTGTGTGTGTCTGTGTGTGTGTGTGTGTGTGTGTGCGCTTAGCAGTAACACTGGAAACAGTGAGTCTGGCTCTGACCAGAAGGAACAACATCTGCAATCCAGCTCCCCTACAGCTCACTAATTAACATTTAAACGCTTTTTATCTTGTAGGTTTTATCCGTGCACAACCTGAAGTATAGAGAATGTTCTGTGAGGTTGTTAGGATTTAGCACATACCTCCCTCACTCATTCATTCAAGTGTTGCCCTGATGGATGCTGGGATCTCCACAGCTCTCCAGCTCCTGCTGTGTGTTTTAGGTTTGGGAAGCCTCTTCGTTATTTACCCCCTGTGTGGTGGTTTTTGCCAGGGAGGTGCATGTTTAGACGTGTGAAGTAGTCATCTCTGGGAGGTTATTGATCTTGTCCCAGTCATAAACTTGCCACCTCAGTTTGGGGCAGCACAGTCGCTGTTATTCCATCAGCATGGACATATCTGGCTGTCTTTAGTGGGGCTGAGCAACTGACGGAAAATATCTACATGCGATTTTTCTTAAATATTTAATGTGGGATACAACTTTTTTAAGTTAAGCTTCAGTTCAGTGTTGATAATTTAAAAGTGGAAGATTATCAAAACCGTTGACGGAACAGTTTAAACTCTGAGTTAGACGATAAATCCAGGATTATGTTAGCCTGAACCAGGTAGTGTCCATTGGTCAGTGGGCATAAACAACCCCTTAAAGTTTCAGTCTGCTTGGAATAAATAGCAAAAGTGTAGCATTAGGTTCGTAATTTTATAGCTACACCACCTAACATCATGAAAAGATGTGTGTTTACCACAACATGCATATTGTGCGTTTGGTGTTCATTTGCATGCTACGTAGTTGTGATGAACGACCACCTCTCCCCTTGACTTTCACCCTGTTCTTAACCATGTTGTGTTATTTTATACAACGTGATGTGAAATGAAAAACGTACCCACAGTCCCGTGTTATCATGCTAGTTTATCCTGAATTGCAGCTTTTGCAATTTGCTAATTTCATTGCTTTAAATTGCGATTTTGATTTCAAATTAAGTGATGAGCTCCCACCTAATCGACTCCATCATGGCACTTTGTTATTCTAGTTAAGCCTGGTGGACACGATCCACTAACCCGGATCTTGTTTAGGTTGACGTGTCACTAAACTCTGCTCACAGGGATTTTTCTCTATTTGATAACATAACACTGTAAAAATCTTTAATACGTCAAAGTAACCTCTGTTGTGAACGATCCTACATAAGAACCTATGTAATAACGTGGTGAGGCTGCAGACGCTCTGCTGCATGAAGCCGTAGACGAGCTGGATGTGGGTGAGGACCAGTTAGGAACCAACCAGCAGTACAGCTGAGGTGTCACCTGTAGCTTCATGGGATGTTGTGGTTGGTGGGTTTTGCTACACGAGCTGTTTCCAGTCGATATGCTATGCTAAGCTAACGAGCAAATTGATTTTTTTAGACATGAGAGAGCTGCCAGTCTTCTCTTCTAACTCCCAGCAAGGATGCAAGTGTTCCCAAACTTTACCTCCATAAGCAGATTTCATGATTTTAAGAAGTGTTTTGATTGGCTGACATCTTGTAGCTGTCAGCCAATCAAACTAAAATGAAACGTAGCTATCCTGCATGTTGTGTAATTGAATCTGTGCAGCCCAGAGGTGTCCAAGCTCATATCGTTTTAAGATCCTGTTTCTTTTCAGAGCCATGGCAGGTCAGCTTTAAGTCTCCTTGTGTGTGTTCAAACCAGGCAATACAGCATCACAACGAGGTTCTTTTTTTAATCAAACACCTTCATGTAACACAGAGCAAACACATGAATTTGATATTGCTGTGTAATTAAAAGCAACTTCTATCTTTCTTACGGTTTGTTTCCTTCACTGTTCTGAACTTATAATTAATCATTAATGGAAAATGTCTGAAGTCATATTTTGATGGACAGCGATGTTTCTTGTATTAAAGCAGCATGTGTTAAGGTACATAGCCATACAGTCATAACCCATGTCCTTAAAGTGTTCATGATTTGTTCTAACGTCCTCCTCTGGCTTCAGTATATGGTCAAACTTACACTTTGTAAGAGTCTGTATGTCTGTGTCCATCATCCTTTCTGTGAAAGGATCTCCCTGCTGGAAACAAAACAAAAACAACAACAAAAAATAATGTTTTGGTTTTTTTTGTCACCCTGTTGTTACAAAAAAAAAAGAAAAGAAAGAAAAAAAGATTTGTTATAATGAAGTCTGGTCCGTGCCTTCTTGGTACTAACGCCCTCAATATCCAATAAATAGGTACATTTATCTACAAAAGCTGTTGTTGTCTGCTCATTTTAGGGAGAGGGAAGAGCTTTTTCATGACTGAGGCTGTGACTGGTGATTATTTAAACCACTGATTTGTCAGTCGTTCGTTTTCGTGAGTAACTGATGAGTTTGGTTTATAAAATGTGGGAAAAGAGAAGAAAAATGTTGATCAAAGGTTTGTTTATGACCTCTAAGATATTCAGTTTACTGTCACAGAGTACGAGAAAAAAAAATTCACATTTAAGAATCAGATATTATTTTAACTCAAATTTACTCAAACTGATTCACTGATAGTGAAAATAGTTGACGATGTCATTAGTTGTTGCAGCTTCATTTGTGACCTTCCTCACATCATCATTACCTCCAATAGCAAAGTAAGATTTAAACACAGCATATTACAAACAAACACTACGATTAAAATACAACCAATTAGAGAAATCTACCTGAGTTGATTATCGGGGAGGTGCAGCGTGTGAAGCGTCTCCTGAGCTGACGCTGCCCTCTGCTGGAGCACCACTGACTGACATGTTAGCATCACCGCGGCCTGAAGGTGGCGACGTTGTTCCACACATGAGCCTCCAGCTGCTCTTCTTCTCTGGTCGCTCAGAGTCACTGTTGATCTGAGGCACCAGCTCAAACGTACAAATAACTTTATAAAACAGGAAATGTACATTTTATAAGCTGAAGCGGAAACGTTTAAGTGTTGTTTGGAAATCAGTTACATACTTATATATATGTAAGTAAAGAATCTGTAGCTGTGAGTATGATTTATGTTTATCTGTGAAGAAAGTCCAGCTGGACGGACACAGTGAGACGTGTCATTAGTAGTGGATGGGCGTCAACAACAGTCTGACATGTAATGACTCTTTATAATCGACAGTGTAAAGATCTCAGGAGCAAACAGCAAAGCCTCAGCCAGCAGTGATTGGCTGGTAAACAAATAAATAAAATTACAGTTAAAACACCATTAAATTATTAGTTATAAATATTCTGATGCTGTATGTCGGCTTACTGAATATAAATAAATAAGTAAACTAAGCTGATTTAAAAACAAAAACATTTAAAAATCTGCCACTTAAATGAATTTAAATGGACATATTCAGATGTATTAGATGTAAATAAACCTTTTTTTTTTTTTTTAATTTACTGAGCTAGCCATTTTATCTGCTTATGTCGCATGCTTAGGATCTTATTTGTATTTTCTAATTTTACATTTGTTTTTATGACGAAGCACCTTGTAGTTTTGTTTTTGACGGTTGCTGTACAAATCAAGTTATTGTGTTTTTAAAACAATCTCTCAATAGTTTGTTTTATTTGACTGTTTAGCAACAAAAATGATTCCTTTATAACAACAAGCTATGAATAAATTAATTAAATAGCAAATGATGTAGGAATATTTTAGAAATAATTTAAATATAACTGATTTTCTAACACAAATCAGTTTGAACAGACTTGTATCCTCTGATTAACTGTAGGAGGACTATGAATTTTTAGGTATTGTGATCTGATTAAAATAGATTTTTTTATTCTTTTATACAGTTTTCTTTTCAACCTGAACATTTCTTTCTGCCCTGTTTCTACAGCTCTCCGAGGAAGGCCACCGGATGCACTCAAAAGCCGTAGAAACCAAATAAGAGGACCTTGAGTTGTGGATGTATTTTGGCTTTAACTGAGTCCAAACGTTGCAGCATCGGTGCAGAAATCGCTGATCGCTACAAAGGGATAGAATTTAAGAGGAAACATGGACGCTTCCCTCGACCAGCTCCACCTCTTTCCCTCTCTCTCTCTCTCTGTCTCTCTCTCTCTCTCTTCCACAGCTGTACAGGAAATCAGTCATCCACCATCCACTGCTGTCGCCATGGCAACACAGAGGGGGAAATCCATTCTCCGTCTCCGTCACCACCCCCCACCCCCTTTCTCCCTCATCCTTTCTTTTGTCTTGTTGAATGAGGTGTAGCTCAGTTTGGACCATTTTCACACTTTTGTTTTTTTTTTTACATCTGACCAGGTTTAACGGTGTCGTGTGCCTCCGCCGGCCCTCTGCCGCCTCCTCTGTGACGCCTCCATGCATCCTGATCATTTGAGCTGATTGTCTGACAGTATTAGGTGACAGTGTGTCTCCAACAGCAGTGGTTGACCTCTCCGTAAATCCCATGGGGCATCGGGACAGGACAGGCGGGGCGGCTCCGCTCGGCTCGGGCCAGCAGCAGCTGCCTGGAGGAGGCAGATGGTCACAAATCAGAAATGAAAATCCAGGCCCTCCTCCTCCTCCTCCTCCTCCCCCACCACCTCCACAACGCCTGCTATGATAACCCCACCCTCACACACATACAAACAGTGCATGTACAGGAGCGTCCAAACATCCATCATCCGCCTCCCGCTCACCTAAAATGACACCGTCCAGGAGTGAACACCTCCATAAACACGAGCCACGGGATTATGCCCAGCTTTTAAAAAGAAAACACACAAACACTTAAGGAGCATAAAACCACTTCAACGATGCTTTCAAGTTCCCGAAAAAAACCAACGGCATTTCAGCATCGCAATTAAACGCAGCAGAAAAGGCAATGTTGGGCCACAGCGAAGTCTGTGAAGTCACCACATCTGCCCGTGCTCTCACAGGGATGGATTAGCAGCTCTTAATAAACCAGCCTATTAACCCAAACAGCTGCACCGACATCAAAAGGTTCAGAGATGATCCGCAGAGCCGATAATAAAACATAGTAATCAGATTACAAATAAACAAATCTCTGGGTTTATCTCCACAGTGATGGAGGGAGGACTGTCGCTGTTTCTGTTTCGACAAAGGTTCCCAACCAGGAGTCCTGACGACACGACACGGAGATGGTGGAACGTAAGTTAACGGATAAACAATTAGTATAGTTAGCTGAAAGTAGAGCAATAAAAAAACAATTACAATGGTTAGCTAAATGCAGGCTAATGGATCAACCCCTAAAATTGTTAGCTAAAGAATGACTAATCAGATGGATAATCGATAAACAACTGAAACAGCTAAAAACAGGCTAATAGATAAAGAGTTGAAATAGTTAAACTCAAACTACTAAATAAATGGCTCAAACAGTTAGCTAAAAGTTTGTTAATTTGTTAGACAGTGGAGTTTGTTAGCTAACAATTAAGCTAATGGTTAAAGAGTTGACATAGTTAACTTATAGTAGGCTAATAATAAAACTGTTAAAATAGTTAACTAAAACTTGGTTAATTGCATAGACAGTTGAAATTGTTAGCTAACAAGTAAGCTAATTTATAAACAACTTACATAGTTAGCTAACAAGTAAGCTAATAGTTAAAGAGTTAGCTAACAAGTAAGCTAATGGATAAAGAGTTGACATAGTTAGCTAAAAGTAGGCTAATGGGTAAGCAGCTGAAATAGTTAACTAAAATGTAGTTAATTGGATAAACACTTGACATTGTTAGCTCACAAGTAAGCTAATGGATAAGGGGTTAAAGTAGTTAGCTGAAAGTTGATTAATAGGTTAGACATTCAAAACTTTTAGCTAACCAGTACGCTCCTGGATAAACAACTGACATAGTTAGCTCAAAGTAGGCTAATGGACAAACAATTGAAATAATTAGCTTAAGTATTGAATTGAATAACCAGATTAAATTGTAAATATAAGCTACTGGATAAACAGTTGAAATTTTAGCTAAAAGATGACTAATTGGATGGATAATGGACAAACAACTGAAACAGCTAAAAATAAAGAGCTGACATAGTTAACTTAGAGTAGGCTAATAAATAAACAGCTAAAATAGTTAGCTAAATATAGGCTAATGGTTAAACAGTTTAGTTAGCTAAAAATAGGCTACTGGAAAAACAAATAAACTAGTTAGTTAAAAGTAAGCCAATAACTAGATAGTTCAAATAGTTAGCTAAACGTTAGCTGATTGGATAGACAGTTGAAACTGTTCGCGGACAAGTAAGCTAATGGACAAACAACTAAAATAGTCAGCTCATAAAAGCTAATGGATAGTAGCTCAGATAGTTAGCTAAGGGCAATTAAATGGATAAACAACTGAAATAAGTAAAAGTAAGATAATGGAAGGACAGTTGAAATAGCTGAAAATAAGCCACTTGGATGGGTAGTTCGCTAAGAGAAAGCTAATGGGTAAACATTTGAAACAGCTGGCTAAAAGTAAGATAACAGATTAAATCGCTGAAGTGATTAACAAAAAAATTTGCTAAGGCTGCTGCCTCCGCGACCCGACTCCGGATAAGCGGGAGAAGATGGATGGATGGATGGACAAAAAGAAATTGTTAAAGGGTTGAAAAATCTAAAGTAATGGCTAAACAGTTTTCTTATGATTCATGAGTTTGGGGGATTATTCTTATGAAATGACCGGCCGTGACCCATTGTGTTTTCCTGTTTAGCTTTATCGTGTTCCCGTTTTGTGATCTTGTTTTAAAATGTTTAGTTTTGTACAACCCTGACTGTGCCGTTGTTGTGTTGTGAATGTAGGGGCGCTGTGACCAGTTGATATATTGATTTAATCGATTTGGTGATTTCCCCAAAGCAAAAACAGGTGCACTGGTCCGAAATATGTAATCAGCAGTGTCCTGGTAAAGCACCTATAGATTATTCCCAAGAGCGTATTTGGAACAAGACAGATGGTGCCACTAACGGGGTATTTGAGGCCGTGAGGTTGCAGGGTTACGTCGGACAGAAAAGACTGGGGAGCGTTGGCTTAGTGGACCCAGGAAGGGCTATCCCCGGTAGCCGTGGTATCCTGGTGACGGGAGGTGCTTCCCACGTTGGCCTTCACAGGATCCATGACTCACCGACTCTCCATCTTCCTCCTCCTCTCTCTCCAGCTCTCCCCGACTGGAAGTTTCACAGAAAATAACATCTGCATGAATGGAGCCGAGGAAAATGTGACTCACAGAAAACGTGACGTTCAGACAGTGGGAGGAAGATGAATACGGTTAGCCGAGTTTACCTGCAGGCGAATGACATAACGTGCATGAAAGCAGATGTACAGTACGCTCGTAT